CTAGGGTAGTAATGTGATTGTGTCTTCCTGATTTTGGTATATACGAATGCTTTCAAGGCAGACTTTAATGTGGAGCTTTGAATGTTCCTGAATACTACATTCAGACTGCTGTAGTTAGTTGAATTGAAATTGCTTTTCCTAATCTTTAGCAGAATATTTCAGAACTAGAAGTTAATTATATCTGGGGGACCTTATATAATTTGTGCATTGTTAGGGGTTGAATGGAATTCCATAGAGTTTTCTTTTCTGATTCATGGAAATTATGAACTGCAACTGTTGCTGCAGGAACAGTAGTGACCTTTTACTCTCAGAGAAACTATGAATTCCAAGTGCAGTTCTGTGGTGTCTTGATATCCTAGCTATAGGAAGTAATCTCACAGGTGATGTTCTTCATGTTGATTGAAACTGTTGTCAAGCTACAAATACATGGATCTCATACAAAGCTCATTGACACGTAAGAGGGTACATCTCAAAAAATTGTATCTAGCTTGAGAATATTTTTTCCTTTTGTACAGAAATGTAGTACAGTTGCTAACAGAATACTACAGGTATAAGTTTACTTAGCCAGCAGGAAGTCACTCTTACGAGGTCAATGTCTTTGGATTTGATACCTTCTAAACCAGTGACTCTTTTTTTGAATATCCTGTATTCTAAGTAAATCAATCTGGACAAATTGTGGATTGACTAGGAATACACTAAGGTTTTAAGTTACGAGAACTCATGAAGTGTGGAATTCTGGATAACCGTATTATTCATCCTCTGCCCATTTCAGGAACCCTCAGTGAAGAACTGATAATAGCAACAGATATTCCTCTGAGGCCTTGGCCACTGTGTGGAGAACATATTTCTTACCTATTATGTAGAATATGCATTATTTAACGTTTCATAAAGGCAAGACTACTTTCTTATATAAGCTGTTGCCTTTTTTGTTTTTATTTATTTGTATTTACATTATATAGGAATATATTATATTTACATTACATTATATGTATATACATACATATCCTGTCTCCTTCCCTTTTCCCCTCCCTCCCTCCCTCAACTGGGGAAAGCCATATCTGTCAATCAAAAAGTGAGGTAGTGCAGGAATACAAGGAGATTGTTTGATGGTCACTAAGAAATTGTCAAGTGTAATTCAGTTTCTTCTCAGATGCTACCTTACATAACTATAGTTTTATACACATTTCTTTAATGAATTATTTAGAGGACTACATAGTTACATAAGACCCGGATCACTAGAATCCAGGTAACTTGAACTTTCTGTGTGGGGAATGTCAGTGTCTGCAATATATGAATCAGTTGTGTTGGCTTTGTGATGCACATCTGAGAAACTATTTCTTGGTTGAATCCTCTGGATCTGATTTTCATATTCATATGCTAGTCTTTCATTCATCATATAATCATCTCTAAGCAGAAAGGAAATCCTGTGTTAGTCACCAGCAGTGGAAATCTAGAGGAACTTCACTTGAAAATGAAATAAAAATTACCTTCTTAAATATAGTTGTGTGATTCTTTGAGATTGCTGCCCACACATTACATTTGTCCTTACGTGCTTAAATACAAAGTCACCCTCATGTGACAATCTTATTGCTGGTATAATTGTGTGAGAGTTGAGCTTACTCCATCCGTGTCTTTCAGTAATGGAAAGTAGTGAGAAAGGAGGAGACATCCTAAGGCTACTGGTCAGATGCTGCTGGTCAGCCTAACCTAAGCTCCATTAAGCTACATGTTTGTGAGGAATGTATTCCTAAAGTTCCTCAACTACAGATCCACAGTTGTAGAGTAGGAAACACGTCCATTTCTTTATATTGCTGGTAGCATCTTTTCTAACTTTTATTGGAGCTTTTTCTGGGTTACTTAGACATAACTAGCTCTATCATATTGTTTAGTTTTTCTTTCTGAATTTTTTTCTTTGTATGCTATTAGTTTCTTTTTTCTTCCATGTTCCTGTTGGTTATTCCACCTGTATCATGTCTCAAATGGTCAGTAAACATCCTTTTACACTTGCATTGCTTTATGTCTTTTATAAAAGTACTGCTCCTGCGGGGGCTCCTCTCCACGGGCTGCAGCTCCGGCCCGGGGCCTGCTCCTGCGGGGGCTCTCCATGGGCCGCAGCCTCCTCCAGGCCACATCCACCTGCTCCAGCGGGGGCTCCTCCACCCATGGGGGGGCTGCAGCGTGGAGATCTGCTCCATGGGGGACCCATGGGCTGCAGGGGGACAGCCTGCTCCACCAGGGGCCTCTCCCTGCACAGCCCGCAGGGGAACTGCTGCTGCCTGCCTGCAGCACCTCCTGCCCTCCTGCGGCACTCACCTGGGGGCTGCAGGGCTGCTTCTCACTCCTTGCACTCCCAGCTGCTGTTAAGCATCATTTTTTTTCCTTTTCTTAAATCTTCTCTCCCGGAAGCCCAACCAGTGTCTCTCCCTGGCTCAGCTCTGGCCAGCAGCGGGTCCCTTTTGGAGCTTCTCTGAAACTAACTCTTACCTAACACAGAGCAGCTTCTGGTCTCTGCTCACAGAGGCCACCCTTGCACCCCCTTGCTACCAAACCCTTGCCACAGAAGTCCAATATTCCAAGCAGCTTTACTCTCAGTATTAATTTCTAGTGACTTAGACATACAGTTTATAGTCCAGAGCAATTGCTAATTTATTTTTATATGATGTTTTCTAATGGTTAACAAAACAATGTTAAAGAGATTAATTTCTTCAATACTTTTGAAATGTCCCCAGCACAATGGGATTGTAAAGCATTTGTGTTTTGTTATTCATTCATTGTCAACTGGCACATGTCAGGTGATCCTTGAATGTTAGTATCCTTGGTAAGCAGTGATTTTAACATGATATGGAGCTTATTTTTCACCTTGTGAATTATGAATTTTAATATTTCTTGTTTGGACTGCTGGCTATAATTCTTGAAAGCAAGCTGATAATTATAAATTATAAATATTCTCTTCTCTATGTTAGTTTTTTTTTGTGTGCAATAGTGTACTTAAATTGTACCATAGAAAAATGGGAAGTTATTTATCATAGAGAAAGTAGGCTGCCTTGGAGTACTGCAAAAATGGTGTCAACAATGTTAGCCTCTCAGAAGTGGAACATAAATGTAGGCAGTAACCACTGGAAACTACAGTTAATAATGAGCATGCCTTTGTGTTTATAAAAATGAGTTTTCATTTAACTGTAGTAAAGGTAGATTCCTTTAAGTGACATGTTGCCTGTATCAGCTCTGAACTTGGACTGCCGAGACAGTTCAGCAGATTGTTCATGGTGATAGGGTTATGCTGGGTTTGGTCAGCAGCCTGGCTCTACTAGAAAAGATAGTTGCCTTCTTTTCTTGCCTTCACATCTAACTAAGGAAAAATAGAGAAAGAACAGGTCTTACTACTGTTCTTCTGTGTCTTATGCCTTCTATAGTAGATAGCATATAGATAGCTTCAGCTCTTTTAAGTGACTGCAAATGGATAGTGTTTCAGACAATAATAAGTCTCTTTTGACATTGGAATTGCTTCAGATAATCATTTTGAATCATGATCTAAACCAGCCACTAAGAGACTTCGGTTTAAAACGTCTCTTTTAATTTTGAATAGCATTGCTAGTATTTTTTTTTTTTAGAAGACAATTGGATTTTCATTAGGTGTTAATTTACATAAAAAGATGTTGATTTACAACCAAAAATAGTATTTCACTTAATTTAATACTTTGTTTTGTTAACCATTGTGAGACTGTTAGTATATTTGTAGCTGTTAGTGTAAAAATTTATTTATGATGATGCACGTGAAGATTTAATTCATCGAAAAAAATGTTATCTGAAGTGTAACTGTCAGAAATGAAAACGGTAAGTTTAGTGGAACAAATTTTAAATTTAGAACTATTGTGCTAAAGAAAAGAAGTATTATACATAATTAATACATTAATAATTTCTGGTGACATTATCATTTCAGATTTTAAAGGGAGACAACATTCTGTCACACTTTATTTTCATTTATATTTAGGCAGCAATTGTGTCTTTTTCAATTTTCAGCTAAGATTAAATAAACTGGTCATTGAATTCAAGTAGCTGAAAAAATAAAATGAAACTATTTTCTTAATATCAGCAGAAAAAATGTGTTGCTGTAAAGAGTTTGTTCAACAAGCTGTATACCCTAGTGTTCAGCTAATGGATTGCTTTTGATTATATTTGAAATTTTAGTAGGAAAACTATATTCAAATATTGAGTATAGTTTAAAATTATTTATTGCTTGTGGAAAATGTACTATCAAATGTAGTCAAAGATGCTATATATCATCAAAAATATCATCAAACTTCATCAAACTTCTTAGATTTTGTGGTGTCGAGGGCAGAAAAGAACTTAAAGTCACTCAATGTGAAAAGCAATACCCCAAGTTGAATGTTTAATGCTAGATTTCCCTGTGTCAGAACACTGACAATAAATTAAATACAAATCATGCCATGGTCCCACAGGCCTCAGTAGCCCTGTTGCCTGCTGTGTATATTGGCTGTATGTGCATCTGTTTATCAGATTGAAAACTTTGCCACACTCCATTAAATTGTTAGCTGCTGCTTTATAGGAGAAGGGGGCAATAGTGGTGGCCACACCACATCTGGTAATATTAAAACTTAAAAGCACTAAAGCACTTCCAGCTATGCCATCATCACAGTTAACTGTGATAGGATGTCTGTATTTCAAATGGGACTGTTCTTGTGTATCTCTTCAAAGATTCCTGTTTGTTTACTTATGTATTGTATGTTTTTGTTCAGAATTTTGCCACAAGGAAGGAAAAAGAATGGCAAACCAATCAAGCCACAGAATAATCAGAAGGGAGAGTCAAGTTCTTTGCCAAAGTGTTGCAGAACAATCAATTTTTAGACCTGTGTTGTTTTATGAACCATTTTTAATTCCACAGTGTGACTGTACTTTGAACAAAACGTAATGAAGTGCTGTTTTGGTTTTAGAGATGTTCTTTACGAGATAGGCTTAAGTGCTATTTTTTTTTTTCCCAGCTAATCTTCCTGTACCGACCATTGCTGCAATAGATGGAACTGCATTGGGTGGTGGCCTTGAACTTGCTTTAGCCTGTGACATAAGAGTGGCAGGTAAGTATGAATCCTGCTTATTAAACGTAGGATTATTAGTGTTGCAGAAGGCTTGACTAATCTTTGCCTTGGCAACAGTCTTTTAAATCTGATTTTGTTTCTAACAATGTTTATAACCAATAAAGGGATTTAGCAGAAACCTGGCTGAAGTACTTGCTGATTTTTAATTTCATAACACTTACTCCTGATAACTGGAGTATTTTTGCTACAGGTTTTACTTTATTCTTATTTCTCGTATTACCTTACTTGTTATGTGTAATTAATAAACTACAGAACTTGCCTTGGTGGGAGTAATTAGATCTTTTAATAAAGGCAGAACAATTAATTCTATTTAAAGATATTTTTCACAAGTGAGTGTTTACAGAGTGATTTGTTATTCTTTTTGAAGGAAGTGTAACAAATGAATACCCTTGCAGGGCATTATTGCTTATTTTGCAAGTTGTTTTCCTATAGATTATAGTAAGAAATCATTTACACTTTTATTTTTTCAGCCTCTTCTGCTAAGATGGGCCTAGTTGAAACAAAGTTGGCAATCATTCCAGGTGCAGGTATGAAAGTTTTGCTTTTGTTTCCACAGAAAATTAAACAATGCATGCTCTTGATACTTGATTTTAGATTGTTTGCAAACTTCAGCTTATTTTTATATTTCCATTATGGATCGTTGGCCTGTGTTTAAAGGTTATTGCTCATGTTACTTACTGAAAATTAATTAAAAGTGTTTTGCTCATTTTCAGGGAGTGGCACTTGTGTTTTTTTTTTCAATCAAAATTACATTAACTAAAACAGTATTAAGTGATTCTGTAAATGAGATTTTATGTCTAGATATGAAGGCTGAGTAATTTTTTTGAGGATCAGGCTAGGAAAAAAAGGTAGTGTTAACTATCAGTGTACAAAAATGGTAATTTAATTAATGATCCACTTTTATGTACTGTCCAGTACAAATTCTGTTTTCATGCTACTTGTACATTGGTTGTAAAGAATTTAAAACCTGAATGTATAGTGGGAATAGATCTTTTGTCTTGCCAAAAATTCTTTTCTGTTTTTTATGTGTAAGGCCAGCTCACTGTTTCTTTTCTTTTTTTTTTTTTTTTTTTTTTTCCTGGATTCATAATGAAGTAAATTTACAGAATAAATAATATTTACCAAGGCCTTTGGTGTTATGACACCTTTTTGTTTCTTTTATTTATTTATTTATCTTAATGGGAATAATTTACCCATAAAATATCTGCCTTTTTTGGAAAGGGGCAATACCTTGAACATAAATGTCTCCTCCTGACCCTACTCAGCTTTGGCCATTGTTTCTGGAAGTTCTGGAACTACATATACATTTTCTTTACACCTGTTTTCTTTGTAATAAGTGGAAGCTATTTTGGAAGTACCATATCTAATTTTAATGAACAGTGTTGCAGCTTGTGTAGAGAGGAGAGTAAAAGCTGCCATAATGTTAACACTGATATAAACTTTGTCTAGGAAACACTCCCATCCTATCACTAATACAGACAATTATTGTCCAATTTGAAAGGCTTTTTTATTACGGTTATCGTTGAGTTGTGATTTCAGTCAATATTTTATCCCTATCTATGTTTTTCTCTGTGGTCAGAGCTACATTTTGCATAAGCATAACTGAGTCCATGACCAGACCCTTTTTAGCAGTGGGTAAAGATGAATTTTGTAGATGATTTTAAGGATATATTTCCTTCTGGCATTGTTGTCATGAGATAGTATACCTTTTTTAGTATGTTCTGGTGAAGTAAAAGACAGAAAATGCCATTTTTTGGGGGAAATTTTTTTCCACTTTGTCCATCCATTCCACCTTCTACCAAGGAATCTTGCAGGCTGGTATTGCATACGTGCTCCCAAGCTCAAGAAGTTCAGGTCATGCTCTCCAGATAGTTTTGGAATTCAACTTACAGAGGTTGTCTCAGATTTCCTTATCTTCTGTTACTTATAGATGTTTTAAATTTGTAATGCTTTCACCTTAAAATGCTAAGCAACTGACTTCATAATGAGTTTCTTTGGGGGTTTCATTCAGAATGTGTTATTACTACCCAGGGATGGAGGTCTGAGAAATCTTTTGTTTTTCTCCTCCTAAAATCGTACTTTGGAGATGTGTCTTCACCTCCTTGAAAATATGACATATTTCAGCAAGTTACAGCGCCTTTTAAACTTGTGAAGTTTTGGAGTATGTTCAGTGATTAATTTTTCCCTGCTCCTATCAGCCTGTCAGACTATTTTTGCTGAGTGTATTTGAGCTTATCACAACTTTTTCCTGTTCAGCCTGCACTTGCTCCACCCTTACCAAGCACTGAGAATGTTTCAGCTCTTTTCACCTCCTGTCATTGAAGTAGCAACTGGTCATGCTTTGTGTCTTCAGAAAATGAAAGAATTGTATGTACGTCATTTAGGTAGAGAAGTTAGAAATGTCCACTTGAACCTTAGGCTTCATGGGTAAAGCAGATATTTTCTTATAGTGTTTAATTCCAGCTGCTCTGAGCTGAAGGAGGACTGGGAATTGCAGCTGAAAAGATGAACGTAGCCATTAAGAGACCTCGACAGGTTTCTGCTACCATCTAGTTCATGTGAAACTCACTGACAAAATATGTTGCTTCTTCTGAGTGGGTCCATACAGTGTGGCAAGCTACTACTGTTTTTATACTACTGCACTGTCACATGTATGGGATAGATGTGAAGATTTTAAATTAGGTGATAATGAACAAGTTCATTTAAGGTCATATGAAAAACTTCTTTTTAATGTTCTTTTTTTAGAAGTTACATACGAAAAGTTACATTAAAAGCATTTTGTTAGAATGTAATAGCCAAGTTTTAAAGTATCTGAGCAGATCAGCTACAGTGTTTTGGACCTTGTTGTGTGCTGTGTTGAATTCCATCCCGTTTTGAAATACGCACAAGAAAGGACATAGTCAGGTGCTGTCTAGTGAGCAACGAGTTTTAACATAAATTGCCCAAGTGTGAGAAGTTTTGCTTCTGAGTATGCACAATGTACCGCAGCATTGTAAAGGCTCAGGTTGAGCAGCAATTGAATTCTGGTTAATATACAGACATGAATTGTTCCTTCTAAGTCTGCTAAGGATTTCAACCAAGTAGGCATTTCTAGAGCATGCCTTGTCTGTGCTAGCAGCTTGAGTCTCCTCAGAAATACCATTCATGGTGGACGGCAGAGCAAAAGCTAGTGGGAATAATAGTGGAGCCTCCTTTTATACAAAAGCTTTGTTCACAGACCAGCTCAAAATGTGAAGGAGAAAGATTGAATCTCCTGTCTTTGGAAATTTAAACCCTGTTCTCTCTCCACTATGAAAAAAGCCTTAGCTGCCAAGTTGTGAGTTAGGGAAGGTAGAAAATCTTTCAGTTTTTCCTATTAAGTACATCCCAGTGTCTACAAAGTAAGTCAAGATTCGGTAAACTGAAGGAAATGTGTAGCAGAGAGAAAACAGCTTGGTAGCTCAGTGCTGGGTAAGTTACCTGAGCATGAACACTAATATTTTTGTTTTCCTTACAAAGTCCCCCAGTTGCTGTTTATTACACAGGTAGTCTTACATTACCACACCATGCATGTATGCCTGACTATCCGTATTTGTCTTTTCTACCCCTTGCCTTTCTCAGTTTTCTTCCCTATGTATGTTGGGTCTCTTGGAGAGTTGCAGTCTGGTTTGACTAAAGATCAGTGATTGCAAAAAGAGATAGTCCCTAGAATTGTATCAAAAGGAAGATGAAGTAACCTATTCTTGGACATAAAAGAATTGGCACAGGAGGGAAGTATTGTTGATGTCCTAGCTGTGGCAAATGTTTCAGTTAAAATACTTGTCTCACTTTACAGCACTGAGTTCAGATTTCATGGGAAACCAGATTTTATTAACTCTGTTGTTTAAGGAGATGCTTGTTACCAGCCGGAGTGACTTTTCTCAGTTGTTTGCTAAAGGAGCTGTTTTTTTTTGATTTCTTAGTCAAAAAGCCATTTGAACACCTGTGTAGCACAGTAGTTCTGCACAGGACTCAACATAGCATAGGAAAGCTTTTTTACACAAAAAAAACATGTTCTTTCTCTCTCTGTTGTTACTTGTAAAACTTACGTAAAAAGGAAGCCAACCTCTCTCTGTAACTGAATGTAGTTTCTAGTGTCTATCTACTTGCAAAAGAAGAATTTCACAGTGACAAGTTTCTTATCTGAAAATTGCCTTTTTTTTTTTGGAGTACTCACAGGGACCTTCTTTTTCCACTTTCTGGCTTTTTAAAGTTATCTCCATCCATAGTTCATTTCTGTTTTTTATAATTAGTCTTTCACTACAGATATCATATTGGGCCAGCAGCAGATGCATGATGCCTTGCTGACAGATCTGCTTTTATTTGTTAGTATCTTATTTGGATACCACTCAGTAATAGATCTGTTAGGAGAAGATAAAAATGCTTGTAAACAACATACTTAAACACTCTTATTATGTTAATAGAATGAGACATGATTGTTTGATGAGAGGAAAGTACTCTGTGCCAATAGGAAGTGAGAAAGTCAGGTGAAAAATAGCTTGGATTTATTTTATGCAATTTTTTTTTCATGTAAAATTTATGTGTAAAGCTGAGATATTGGTGTAAATCAATGATTATGCTTCCATAAAAAAGACATGGTAACAGAACTTCATTGGAATTAATCTGCTCGTGTCAGCAGATAATATGACCTAGCTAGATTAAAAATGTAGCTACTGGCCTGCATACTTACAGCTTTCACTCCTCTTTTTTATTTTGTTTTGAAGACATTTTAATTAGCAAGACTTCATTCAAATCATCAAAGCAAATCTTGCCTTTGTTCTCCCCTCCAAACCAAAAAGAACCCCACTACTTCATTACAGAGCTCTCCTTCACATTCAAGATGAACAATGCAGACTCTTTAAAGATGAAATAAAAATCCAACACGTAATCCCAAGGAGTATGTTTTCATTGACAATATTCAGTTTAAAAGCATATTTTGCCAGGAAGGCTTAAAAAAAATCTTTGTTTCTTTGTTAATGTAGATTGTCTGTGTCTTTGTTTTGCATTTTACAGTGACTTTGAACCTTCTTTTCCAGAGATGAATCCAAAGCTGTGTTGCATAGCACGTTGGACTATTTTTTGTCTTTAAAATACATAGGAAGGGATAAGTTTAATGGCAGCATTTATGTGATTTATGTGTTCTTCTTCTTTTTCTACTTTGGTAACAGTATTGTTTTGACTGTTTTTCTAGACTTTAAAATATGTTTGAGGAAGTTATGGTACTTGATGAGAGAGGAAAAACACTAAAAATTAATTTTCATTGCACAGGAAGAAAAAGAGAGTGAGAATGAAAACTGAATGTAGGTAATCATTGTGTATTTTCCTTATCTCTTGAATTATTCATCATTCACTTTTAAAAACAATGTGAGGGGTTCTGTTACAGGATTTATTTTAGAGTTGAAAAAAAAATACCCTACTTTGGATGAGAAAGGTGTCGAGGGAGTTTCCAGATGTGAAAAACTCATACAGAATGTGATACTGCTAACAGCAGAAGTTGTACAATTCATCC